ATGAATTGCTCTTTAGAGAAAACCCAACCTCCCTAATTAATAGAGATACTGTCATCACTCTGACACAAGATGTCTCTCAAGGCAGCTCTGATTAAGGTACTCAGTTACTGAAACCTGCACCACTGCTTCACCTAAAAATGTATGCCTAAATTTATAGAAGCACATGACATTTTTCTGGTGTCCTACATAAGGAAACAAATGCCCATGGGGTTCTGTCAATTAAAGCATTTGTTTATGGGTTTAGCAGTATTCAACTGGTCATACCAGTCACAGTACGTATTTTTTTTAAGACTCTTTTGCTGGTAACATGGCTGATCTGCAGTCTAGCAACACTGGCTCTGTTTCATTCTCTATTTATAGAGCTGCAGCTAGAAGTACCACAGGACTGCAATTCTGAACAAAATCACAGTCGCTGCTAAAGCTCCTTTGACCGCTGAGCCTTGTGTTAAATTGATGTAGTACAAAATCTTCTAAGAAGGACAGAAATCGGCTGTGCCTGTTACCATGCTTGTAGATGGCATATACACTTCCTCCAGAGGGCTGCATGTGGAAAACCAGACTAGAAATAGGAAATTCTTGCTCAATAAGTTACCCAAGTATCCATTTTTTTAAGTGTTATATTTGACATTTTCCAGTGAGGTTGCCCGAGTTTGTTTTATTTAGTAAAACATTGTTTTGGCAACTGGAAAATGTTTTATAACATATAGTTGTATCAAAAAGTTATGCAAGCTGAAAATAATGCAGATTAACATATTATGCAGTTTGTCATGGTTGTACTTACAATTTATTACACCGGCCCAGGTGAGGTGCTAGCACATGGAATGGAGATGGCTTGAAAATGTGGCAGTTCCACCTGTAACAGGTAAAAGTATTATTAGTCATTTGCAAACAAAAGCAGCAGTGTTCTCAATGCCAGACAGGGTGTGTATTTAGACTGTCTCTGACCCAAGAAGTTCACAATTAGAGATTAACAGAACTAAGAACATGAAGGATTTTGTGGTTAGGCTTTGGTTCACTTTCTAGATATTTTCAGCTCAGGTTTGAAGCACTGAAGGGTTGTCTGAGGAGACTGCAGCTGTGAGGACCAGTAAAGGTGAACACTGAGGAGAGACGTGAACGTGAGACGAGTACCAGACCATAATCAGGAGGAGTGTCAGCATAGAGGGGCAGAAAACTGTAAGATGCAGAGACAGAAACAGGAAAAACCACCCTCAGTCATTAGACAGAGCCAGGCTCTTTCTTCAGAGTTCAAGATTTTGCTCTTGGATGGCAAGTCTTTGCTGCAGAACAGCTTTTTTCATCTAGTTGTCCTTTGTTATATGCATAGGTAGATGCTGTAGAAACGCAATATCTTTGCTTTGAAATCTTCCAGTGTTTAAACCTGAATATTAGCTTCTACAGTCTGTAAAGGGTAAAAGATGAATTCATGTTAGTCTTTTGATTTGGCTGAGGAGCATGCTTTTGAGGTGTATCTCCTTAACCTCCCCATCTACTGCTCTTTGGGTCACATTGCTGAGCAGTCTCAGAGCACTTGACCTGGGTTGCTTTTACACAACACTAAACCGAAGGACATGCTCCAGGGGCACTCAGATATCAGACTAGATTAAGTCCGAAGTAGAACTCCTAAAAGATCTACAAGGCCATCGTGCCTTCAGTGCTAGGTTTTACTTGCTCTGTAGTTCTGCTCCTTGTTCACTGTGCTAGTTACTGACATACGCAGAGATTCTTGCTCTTCCTACCCAGAGCTCCTTTCCAGCAGGGCGCTATTTTCTGGAAAACTTGTTTTTCTGTTCAGAGGAGAGTTTAGCTATACTGAACAGTGCTTTTATGCAAGCTAATCCTCCGTTTTCTTCTCTAGTGAATTAAGCTTGTTCCCTGCCCACCACCGCTCCAGCTTTTTTTAAATAAAGGAGATTTTTCACTCACTGCTGTATCATTCAGAGAAGCAGAGGTACAGTGGTAAGCAGCCTAACTTTATGAGGATTAAGTCTAGAAAGATGGTAACAGGCATTCAGTCACTTGTTGTTAATGGCAGTATTAATTTCTTAAGCGAACATTACCAAGATGAAATACTCCTATGTGAGTAGCAACAATAAGGTTCTGAAGGACTCAGCTTAACAGCTTGTGTCAGGTGATGAGGTTAATGGAAAAGAATTTGTTATTCAGGTCACTTAATGAAAACAACCTTGGAAGAGCTTAGCAGAGCCCTTGGGGTAGAATAATTTATTCCTCTTCTGCCTCCATCACTGTAAGTTAACCCAAGACATAGAAGAAGCAGATCTAAACATGAACTCAACCCATCCGAGTAGCGCAGGAGGAATATCAGCAATTACAACGTGCTGTTGTAATCTCTGCCAGCCCTCCAGTGATTATACAGAGAATACAGCCTGCAGAGCAAAGGCTGGCTTTGCACAGCCCCATCTCTAAAACAAGACAGTTGGTTAAAATGCAGGTTATCAAAACACTGCGCAAGAAGACAAGAAAAATATTCACCACAAGACATATAATTTTTAGCCAATATATGGTCTTTGGATCAGCTAGGTGTAGAAAAGAGAGAAACCGCAGCAGCCACCGGTCGCACTGCTACTGGTCTGTGTTTTGGTGGTTTGTTTTGCTGCTCAGCTATGATCAGAGCTAAGCTCCAGCTCCTGTGATTTGAGGCCTTACACTGATCTGCTCCCAGACCCCAGGGAGCCCCTGTGTCTCTGCACCACCATTTCCCTTCTTATCCCTTCATTAAAAGTGCTGTGAGCTGCCCAGGAAAACACACCTTCCCCACAGCCACTGCCCAAGTGCTAATGAGGGACTGCTCCCTTTTTGGGGTGAGGGCTTGTGATATGAGCCAGAATAAGGGATGAGAGATCACTTGATAGATACCCCGATTTGATCCCAAACCTTGGGACCACCATTTGAGAGCCCTAGATCCCGATTTAGAAAACCTCAGGAGAAGCAGGCAAGATTAGCACTATCCCCACCTGTAATGCTACTCCCTTGTCTGCAAGCGCCTGTTTTCTCATATTCCGAGCAACATGAATACCTCATCTGTGTAGAGCTGAAAATCCTTTTCGCAGCCTTGGGTACAATAACTTCCATGTAGAAAAACAAGATTAAACTTGACAGTAATAGGAGTGATAGAGGGGGAAAGCGTTCTTCCTTTGAGACAGAGGCTCTGAATACAGCAGCCAGTGACTGGCTGAAAAAGGAGGGGAAGAAAGATAAATGCAGTTATTCAAGCATCAGGGCTTAAAAAAAATGCTTCTAAGAGAGAGAAAAAAGAAAAACCTACACCTTTCACTTGACATTTAACAATCTACCTAAACAAGCTAAGCAAAGGAAAAGAAAGTCAAAGACCTTACAAAGAGAGCTGCTTTCAGCTCTTTGTTACTAGATATCTTAAAATACATTTTTCCAACCTTGCTAAGAGACACCAAGCCCTCTACGACCCACAGCAAATCCTCACCAGCATTTTCTCTTCTTCCCCATGAACCACATTTATAGGCTCCCTCCTGGCTGCCCCTGCAGGGACCAGCCTTGTTAGCAAAGCCTCTTTACACCTGTGTGTCTGTAGGCTGCCAGAGATTTAACTCCTCACGCGCTGCATCCAGGGCAGCAGACTTGTATTATTCCCAAAACTACCTCCAACCACCCAGCGAGCTCTGCTCTGGTAAATGACCCTGAATCCCAGTGTGGTGCCGGCCTTTGGGAGAGTGTTGTGTATTCTGAGCAGGCTCTGTCCTGCCGTCGCGGCTGGGTTATGGAGAGGTTTATCAATCAACTACAACCCAGGAGTCTTTAGCTCTTTAGTGCTACAGAGGCACTTAACTCCCAGGGAACTCAGATTGAGCAAACCAGCCTTAGGTGTATCCTACAGAAGGGTTTCTAACTGGTTACTTCATGCTACTTCTTTATCGCTGCTTTACTTTTGGATTTCTACAGCCTGAGTAATGTTTCCTGTCATTAGGACTCTTTGACAATAGTTTCTCTGAAACGCCTTTGACATTTGCAAGGGGAAAGAGGCCTACTGTTCACCAAAACCTGCAATCACCCCTGGAGCAGCGGGATGCCAACTGCCAGGGCCAGAGCGGTGGGCACACGAAGTACAGTATGCTTGAGTAGTGATTAACACACAACAAAGAGAGCTGCCTGCGCTGCAAATGGAAACACACTGCGTGCTGGGGATGTAAGAGCGTTTTGGTCTAATTTTGCACTCTGCATATAGTAATAAGACACAACAGGGTGTGCATTAAGCTCATCTTTTGAGAAGTGCAACAGTAGCTGAATAATGCACACCCTGGAGTGTCTTATTTGTAGTGGACTATGGCTCATTAATTTTACATTTACATTTTTTCAAACCTATTAAAAAAAAACAAAACAAATCTGTTCTGAGGGCAGTTATGTAATGTATCCTTCCACTGAAAAGTATTTTCAAATAAAAACAGTAGGGAAACGGTGAGGAAGAGCTTTGCTCAACTGCAGACCAGTGTTTGGTTTGGTTTGTGCAGGGCCTGCTACCAGCAGGTTCTTGGTCTGCTACTGCAGATACATAATACAAATAATGATAGTTACAGAAATCTACTTAGTGTTCACTCTTTTCCAGACTTTCTTTTTGTGTCATTACCTGGGCCTTTTGGCTTCCTTTTTTTCCAACAAAAGTCCACTGTGTGGTGTATGAACCAATACCCACTTCAGAACAGGTTCACATGTAAAGCACTCAGGTGGGGATGAGACTGACTTTCACATCAGACTGGGAACTCGGTGGTCACCGGTTCCTGCTCTGGAGGCAGACAGGCGCGATTTGGGGGAAGATGGTTTTGCCACTGTAGCAGTGTGTGTGTGTGTGTGTGTGTGTGTGTGTGTGCATGGGTACAACAGGATTTAATGAACAGAGGGTGTTATAAAAACTCTGTTTTGTTATGAAATTACTTCAAAAATATGAAGGAGGGATATCTGATTTCTGCTGCTCCACATGAAATATGACTATGGTTTATCCCTTTACATAGGTTCCAACTTTGATGATGGATACACAGTTTTCAGAATTCACTCCAGATATCACCCCAATAATGCTGGCGGCTCATACCAACAACTATGAAATTATCAAACTGCTTGTCCAAAGACGGGTAACAATTCCACGCCCACACCAGATCAGATGCAACTGTGTGGAATGTGTCTCCAGTTTGGAGGTGGACAGCCTGAGGCATTCCAGGTCAAGGCTGAACATCTACAAAGCCTTAGCCAGCCCTTCGTTGATTGCCTTATCAAGCGAGGACCCCATCTTGACGGCCTTCCGACTGGGCTGGGAGCTGAAGGAGCTCAGCAAAGTGGAAAATGAGTTCAAGGCTGAATATGAAGAGCTTTCACAGCAGTGCAAGCGTTTTGCTAAGGACCTTTTGGATCAAGCGCGGAGTTCCCGAGAACTGGAGATCATTCTCAATCACAGAGATGATCAAAGTGAAGAGCTGGATCCCCAAAAATGTCATGATTTGGCAAAGCTAAAGGTAGCAATAAAGTATCACCAGAAAGAGGTAAGAGTCATCTAAATGTGAAGGTGTGTGAAGGTTTCACGTGTTGGGTAAAATGCTTCATTCCTCTAGTCTCTGTGGGTTTGTTCAGGGTTGCTGGCTGAGAGGCAGCAGGGGTGAGTTTGGACTGAGTGGAGAATCACGTGCAGATGGGTTAGTCACAAACCAGGAGGTTCAGCGCACCTTGGTGACAGTGTGAATCTGATGACAGTTGAGGGCAACACGACTGGGACTTGCTGCAGTGGGTTATGCCTTCTATGGCACAGACACTTTCTGTTTCAAAGCTAGTTGAATCCCATTTCATTGTAACCCATCCCCCTGCAAAGAACAGTGTTCAGGAATTTCCAGGTTTGTTAGTTCCGAAAGCTTTTCCCAGTAGCTGCTTTTATACAGGAACCAAAAGCTGGAAGGGGTTGCCTGGCTCATGAAGGTCTTGACTGCAGGAAATAATACAGCATACAATTCACTTCCTCCAGCCACCAAAGACTTCCTAGCACCCATTCAACACTAACTCATAAGAGCCAGAAAAACAACAGCAGCCAAAGAGAGCAGGAGAGATCCAGAGCACTCTCTCTGTCCCAGGTCTCCATGGTACCAGCAATTTTGTTAGGTGAAAATGTTCACGTCATGCTGCAAGTGGATCACATCATGCAAATACTTCTTCACACCTGAGACACCTCAGGTTGATTCTTGCTCCTTGATTCGTCTGTTTTGGAAACTGAGAAGCAATTCCCAGAAATTCAAACTCTTGCCCGTAGTACCAGAAGGGAAAGACTTACTTCAGCTGAAGGGCACAGAGCCTTTCAGAAGCCCTGCAAATCTAGAGGTTTGTAAGTTGGTTCGATAAAGGCCATGAACCCAAGGAGAAATGCTGACAACAGTTTCATTAGTTGGCTCTGGATTGTCTTTCTCTTTCCAAACCTGGACAGAAATTCGTAGATGATGCATTACTGCTGGCCAGTGATGTTCCAGGTTATCTGAAGGAGGAATTTAGCTTGCTTGGTTGAGGAATTGAATTGCAATTATTACATTCTTCTGTGTCCGGAGGGTGACAGGAGTGTCCGAAAAGCCTGCCACATTACTGTTTTCACTGTCTTCCCCACATCTGACACTTTGGTTTATGCATTGACCCAGATGAGGACAGCCTGATGATACATTCCTCCTCCCGTAATGGCTGCTCATGTCATCCAAGGTAAAATAGTCAAGAAGTGAAAGATGCTGATTTTCCTTTCTTCCCTTTGGTCTGTTATGCCTCCTGAGTACCAGCCCCTTGATACAACAAGCCGGAGCTGAAGCCTGAAGCTTCCTGGGATCTATCCCATGGTCACTTACTGCTCTTGCTGGGCTACTCCAGGGAAGTGTCAGCAAGGCTCCCTGGCTTCATGTCAGGCTGTGGTTTTTACTCTAGCTGACAGGGTTAGGTGACACTGTAAGTGCTTGAGGGACATGAACAAGTAGAGAAGAATTAGTCTGGAGAAGTGTAATGCAGTATATTAGGTCAAATGTTCCTTGAATCTAAGACGGCCAGAAACTCTACTTCTGTTTTTTTACTGGCCTGAGAGCCCCAAAGCTGCAGCCACACACCCCCTCAGCAGCCAGGACACCGCTGGCACTGCCGATCTCGATGTCTTGTCACAGTCCAGACTCACTATTGACACCCAAGCACAAATCTGTGACTACCCCTTATCTCGTGTTGACATTAAGAAGTCTGAAGGAGTTCAGTGTATTTGAAATGTAGTACTGAACTGTCCTGAAGCTCTTTTATCCTAAAGTAACACATTTTTAATCTTTGCTTGCTTGCTTGACAGTTTTCATCTCTATTTTTGTGGCATACCAGACTGAATTCCAAGCATATAGACAAGTTCCATGTTTTGTGACATATTCATGACAATTCCAGCACATAAATGACAGCAAACGAGCATGAGCTCTGTGTTGCCAGCAGGTGGGAGAGAATGAATGAGTCTGGGAAACCAGCACTACTGAAGCCCCTCATCCTACCTGGTTATTCACAAATAACCTGATGCATCCTGCAGGATGGTGTTTGTATGCAAGAAAATATTGCAGTAGTTTTCTTATCATAATAATTAGTTCCATACAAAATGCCAACCAAGATACAAATGTCATTGCCAGCTTCTGAAAAAAACGTGAGTACGAACATTGGTCGGAGAGACACTGAGAAATGCCTTTTAATTGTGATTGAAGAGTATCAGATGGAGAGAATTTTTGTGGAGGACAGAAAGGAAAACAGAGACCAGTTTGGTTTTGTGAAAGACAGTTCTGCAGAGAGAAACAGCAGACTTTTTAAAAGTAGATCATCTTGTTCTGATGAAGCTTTTTATGTCTTAACATTATATGGGATTGGATTGGATTGGATTGGCTTGGATTGGATTGGATTGGATTGGACTGGATGGAGAAGCTTGTTGTATTTTAACATTGACAAAGTTACAAGTCAAATCTTTAGTAGCCTAAGATGAAAATGCAAAGTGGACCTTAGTTATTTTCTGGGGCTGTAAATTGTTACCGCGGTTGTTAGTTCTTTATATTCGGCATAAAGAATGTGCAATCTCACGTTGATTTTAGACTAATTGCTAGACAAATGAAATAAAATGCAAAATTTCCCCCCAAATATGAAATTATTCAATTTTGGCTTAATCAGGCAGATGTGTTCAACTTCAAGATTCCTTCTAGAGAAGTTGTTAAGAGGGCAGGATTTGATAGTTGTGATCGCTGTTTGCGTGGCAGTCACAAAATATTAGAAAAAAACGAGGACAGCTCTAGTACCCTGCGAAACCAAACAAGTTCGATCCAGCACAGACATGTCAGCTCTCTCCAAGTCCACTTTCAAAAATAAATTATTTTCAGAGGATCATGGGAATTCATGGTCTAAGAGACAAGTAGGCTTTTGATGAATGTTCTGTAGTGTATAACGTTTGTCATCATATTATTACTTTTCAATTTCTTTTATTCATGACTAATTCTGGAAGGAGAAAGGTGCTGAAGACTTAATACAAAAAGGCACAGCTCAGCTGTTGAGGATCAATCTTCGCTATACTCTTCTGGCACAAAATTAGCTCTGCGTTTGTTAATTTGCTTGCATTTCTAAGAAAAGATGGGGAAAAGTCATCTCTTAGGATCTTGCCAGTCACGTAAAGCACAGTTGTATGTACAGTGTGCCATGCCTGTATCAGAGAATCAGAGCACAGCCTGAATGCAAATATAATTTTTATGTCCTTCGAGGTTTTTTTTCATTGCCAAAATAAGGTAAAGCAACCATGACGTAGGAGTGAATCAGGTCTAAAAGGGTCTTTCTCCTTGTATTCTGCTAAGCCACGAGAACAGCGATACACATTCAGCCTGTTCCTGCTCTCCTGCTCCCCAGCACAGGTCACTCATATCTTCAAAATGAAGTGAAGCATCACAGCCATGGGGTTTTAGTGCTCTGCAGTTTTCTGGTAATGGTAGTTGCAGATGGCTGTGCAGGTTTAGTTTATAAATCTGTAGGAAACATACACAATGCAAGGCCCTCAGAAAAAAAAAAAATTACCTATGACTATATTGCTGAGCACTTTCACTGAATTAGATCAAAGGAGTGTATGAAATTCCCTCTCAGAAACCTTAACCATAGCCTCTCTTACTGTACTCTAAATCAGCGGCAGGAAAGCAGAGAAGTAGAATTGTTTGCTTTTCTAGTTTAAAACCAGGGACTTTGCTGTTCTCTCTTTAGGATGAAGACTGAAAAGTTTTAGCTCTTTTTTTCCAAGACATTTACATAGACGAGTACCTCCTGAGATACAGTACTGGAGTGACTGAATTATCATTCCTGCCATGCCACATATTTTTTCAGCTGTGTCTTGACTCTTGTCAACTGCGTGGCTGCAGTTAGAAGCACAGCATCATTCTCCAGGGATTATGCATAAACCTGGCAAATTTCTGAGGGCACTTCAGTTAGTGTATAAAAAGAGCTTTTAAAAATATCAGAGACGCATGAAAAATGAAGTGCGAGGTCTGTGAAAATCAAAGCTCATCTACTGCACCTTGTTTACCTATTTTGAAAACCATTCAGGTATCTTGATGGATAGCCACAGATCCTTCTTCACTTGCAGGCAGTGCTAAGTTATTCTCCTGTGGTTTTGTCTGTTTTCTTGCCACACTGCCTGGAGGTATAATGATACAGGGCTGAATATTTGTATTGTGCTCTTTAAAGGCACAATAAAAAGCTAGCTTTTCGGTGAGATTGCACAGCTCACAAGATTAATAAACAGCCTTTTACTTTCAGGTTTCTAGAATGAAATCATACCATGTCATGAAAAGATCTTTATTAGGACTGGATGGGGGAAGCAGAGCTGCTCCTTGTGGAAGCTTTTTTCCTTTCTAGTGACCTGGAACATCCGTATCCCTTACGGCATTAGACGGTGAGGATGGTGCGGTTACGCTACTGCCAGATCTATCCTCCACCACAAACCTGGATGTAAGTTTAGGGATTTCTAAAGCACCGAAGGTCCAAATGTCACCTTTCATTTTCCAACAGCACTCATTCATTCATTCGTTATTGTATGCAGCAAAGTTACCATCTGATGTGTGAACAGTGGCCTGTGCTAAATGAAGCTGGTTTTTCTCTCAGGCTCAATCCCAGCAGGCAGATGCCCACATCACAAAATCTTCCGTGCACGTGGTACTAACTCAGCTGTCATCAGCAGTCTCAGCGGCAGGACTTTGGGGTGGCAGGTGGGGAAATTCATCTGCATTTGTACCCTTAAAACAGTCCTTCCTGGTGGGGCAGGGGAGTGAGTGGTCCATATCTTGGGGCTCCTACTCTATGGGTTTGTGCAGGTCCCAGATCTATTTGTTCAGTTTTGGAAATTAGCACAGAAATTTAACCCGTACAGCTGCATTGTGTTAGAAAAATTAGGACAAGTGGCATTTAAGTGTAACTTCTCTCCAAACTCAGAAGAAGAAATATTCAGAGAGCTGATGGTTCATCAGCTTGACAAAGTGGACTTGAA